GCATAGCTTTTCACAAATATAAGCCTGAGATTTCAGATGTTCAGATTACAATGTTACCAATGAAGGAAATGCCTGGGTTTGTGCCAAAAAACGTCAACCAAATCGAGTGTGCACACAATAATTTAATAGTACAAAATTAAATTCAGTTTTGTTTGGGCTGCTTTGGCAATATTTGATTCCACGTTAAACAATACTCATATGGCTGTATCTGTGCTGCAGAAATATATTACTTACATAAAGTTTGAAGACATTACTGAAGTATACTGGTGTGTGCACATTTACAAATGCTCATACCAATATACAAATAAAAATATAAAATAGAGCATAGGCCTACATTCAAGCTGTAAACAGATGTATGATAAATATAATACTACACATGTTTCAATGACATGAACTCATTTCTAATGTTCTCTGAAATAACTATAATAAAAGAATCCCTGTGGAGATCCAGTTTTATGAAGTGAAGTCCTTTGAAATGCTGAACTGGGAAGGGCTGAACTTTGTCCACCTTACTCAGTGGATGAACATTAAATTCAGTGCTACAGTCCCATTTCATAAATCCAGAGATCATTTTCTATGTTAGCTATCACTAGCATCTCCAGAAGAAATAACGCCTTTTTCAAACCCCAAAACACAGGTTTCAATTTCTGACTCTCCTCTGATCAACAACAATGAGAATCAATACTAAATTTTTATAACATAGTCAGTATTGTCCAACCCAGAACCGTTCAACCCAAATCTGTTCAGACTCCTGGTTTAGAGCTAATATAATGGCTTACCCATAATGAGATTAATTTCCTGTTGGTGAATATGTTCCCAGTAATAATGCTGAAGGGATGAATAGAAACTTTTGATAAGAATGATCCAACACAGCGTAATTAAATATGCAAGCTAATTATCCATTCTTATACAAATAATAATGGTATTATTTTTGCTATACAAGTGTTTTTCATGCTCAGGGCACAGAGAAACAGTTCAAAATTCCCCAAACACATGTTATTTTAGTGGGATTATTTGGAAGGAGAAAAAAGTTTGCTATAATTTAGGACTTGCACTTTGTTCAAGACAAATGAGAGAAGATGCAAAACAGAGTGGAAAAGAAACATGGTTAAAGTTAAAAAGAGGACATCAAAGTAGGAAGACAAGGAGCTTGACGCTGATTCCACAGAAAAGAGGAAAAAATGCTTTGTGTCTGATTTTTGAAAAGTCATTTAATGAGTCTGTGAGCAGAACCCACACTTTTTACTGCCCATGTGGTAAAACTGAATGCAAATGGCCACATTTTGCCACTGGCACACACCTTGTATGGGCACAGGATGATGGCAGCAGCATATACAAATTCACCTAACACAGACCTGCACATTTTTGTCCATTTCATGGTTTTAAATAAGACCCTTTATTTATCTCCTAAATATGTGCCTGCAAATATACTGACTTCCACACAAATGGCAGCAGTTGGTACAAAAATCAGATAAGACAGTACGTACAAAGCTCAAAGAGATCAAAAAGTTACTCAATTGGTAATGTGGCTTGTGCAGAACCTCAGAAACATTATGAGTTTGTTTTTATAGAATTATCTGGAGCAGCAAGTGCCAACAAACAGGGATTACTTCATCACAAGCATTTAGTTTTCCTTCTCAAGAAGAGGAGAATAGACAAAAGAAGCAGAGAAGAGTAAGAGGAAAAACTGGTTTCTTAATTGATTCAGGAAGGAGGAGGAAAAAGACAGTGACATGAAGGTGCCAATATTTCAGCACCCTGTGTGGAACTGATCCTACGGGAAGCAGGATGAGGTTTACACAGCAGGCAAGAAAGGAGGGAAGAGAGAGATGTTGTCCATGAGAAAAGGTACAAACTGGATTGCCTTTCTATTTGAAAGGTATTTGAAATTCAAGCTCAGATCTGAGGGCTGAACCACTGCAGTTTGAGCTGTATCATCCTTTATTGTATCCAGCAGAATAAATGCTGCCCTTTGTTGTATCCCAAATCAAGCTGAAGCCAAGAGCTGAGGACTTAACATCAAAAAGTTATTCTTTAACAAATTCACTGTCTCATCACACACTGCTAGAGTGATTTTGTTCTGCTGTTTTAAGAATATATGCAAGCAGTACCCTCATTTCAAACTATCATAGACTTATTCAATGCTCTATCAGTGCAACACAATCAGTGAAAATACTGTATAAAAGAGAAAACTTTCCCAACTATTCCTATGAAAGCCCAGGATACAATTTCAGCGTTGCCCCTCTTTAAAGAGCATATCCTGCATTAAATCAGGATGTGGCCAAACCCAGACCATTTAAACAGACAGAACAAGAAGGAAACAGATTCAAACATCACTTTTTCAAGAAATTTGTCAAATCAAGAGGTTTCAAGGTTTACTTTTTATCCTCTGCTGTTTCTTTAATGACACCTACAGCTCCAACAGCAGCTACCTAAAGTGTTAGCAAGCCAGCAGCCAAACCTCCCACGCTATCTTTTTCTTTTCTTTCTTTCAAAGCGTGTTGCCATTCCAAAGCATAACACTGACCTGAAGTTTAGCCAGCTTTTGAAAGGGAGCTACAAGTAATTCAGGTGCAAGTAATTTAGGCAGCGGAGACACCTGCTCTCCACTCCACTGTTCCAGCCTTACAGATCTTTTAATCTCAAGGTCCATGCCAAAGGCAAGGCTCCTTGTCCTACTGCTGCTTGATGAAAGGCCAACACTCACAGTTCTGGAAAAACAGTCTAAAAGGAACAAAAAAGAAAGAGAAATCGAGTTGTCTGCAGCTGAAAGGGAGAGCAGAGGGACACCAAATCATCTGTCAGCCCTTCCTACTGCAGCCCGACCCAGACACCCTCTCCTTGCCCCCAGCTGTGCATTCCTGTGGCCTCCTTAGTTCCACCACAATATGTAGTCAGTCAGAACAAGGAGCTGATCCAGCAGAAAATTAATACAGCAAAAACAAATACATAATTGGTTAAAAAAATACTTTAAAAACAAAATAAGCTTCCTGACCTGTGTATAAGCATTGGTACCAGCATTGGAGAGAGGTGGGGTTGCAGAGCTGAAGGTCCAGGCTAGGGTGGGATGAGAAAAAAAAGTCTTTCTCAGGGGGAGCCTGGCTTTAAATCAGCTTAAATTGATTGAGAAACCACACCCTCAGCAAGAAAGAAATTTAGGCAAATACATGCCTTGTTAAGAGCAGGTTAGTGCTGCTCCTCAGGAAGTACAAAAGATGCTGGAGAGTTTGATCTTAACTGGGCAGCCAAAATGCAGCTGCTCAGGTACTGGTGTTTCCATTAGTGGGGAGCACTGGGACAGCAGCTACAGGGGTGATGTTTTGAGCAGCCTCATTGGCACCACTAAGTTGAGCAAGTGCTCCCATGTTACCTAAGGTGGATGTTGCTTCCCAAACCCTCTCCCCCCACCATCCTCCCAGAGCTTGAGACATTCCTAAATATGTGTTAGGACTGAGCCAGGACTTCAGTGCTGGTTCCACCACTATTTCAATAGTGCTATGAGTCATTCTGATGTGATGCCTCAGTTTCCCTGTTATTACAAGGTGGACATGCATGTATACAAACACATTAAATCATTCATCATGTTTCCCATGCAGCTTTTTGACTAGTTATCTGCAGTTCATTCAAGGATTTTAAACATAAAGAGCTAAAAAAAGTGCTGAACATTCGTTTCCAGAACAGTTGCAAGATCTGGTGCTGGATACTACTGAATATTGATAGTCTGAAAATATCAGATGAATAATCTACAAAAAAACCCACCCAAAACTGCTGAACTCTTTTATCCCCTGCCCCTCTTCTTCCTCCTTTGCCTTAGGAATGAATCTTAATGTCAGTATAAACTTAGTGTGTGTGTGTATATATATATATGTATGGTTTCTGAAATTACCTCAGGGTGGATTCAGTGACCCAAATAAACTATCCTGCCTTCCCCTTGTTTTCCAAGTAAGATTTGGGAAGCAGTAGTCTACATTTGTTATCTGATATTGCTGTTGTTATTATTATTATTTACTGTTGTAGCAGATGTGTACCTGGGCTAATCAGGACTGGGGCTCCATTACTGTAGATACTGCATCCACTGAGTTAAAAAAGCCACTGCTTTAAGAAGGTAGCAATCCAGCTCAGGATGGTATCCCACAAAAGTGTATACCAGGGAGCGGGAGGAAAAAGGGAAGGCGAGAGTGCAGGGTACTGTAGTGCCATAAACCACACTCGTGCACAGGTTGATGGCTCCAATTCATCTCACCCCTCGGATTTCTAACGCTTCTCCATTAACTCTCTCCCCGTTGCCAGCTGGAAAAAGTGACCCGGGGCTCTGTGCACACAGACAGACATACGTGTCTACGTGCGTGAATATATAATCATCACGTTTTAAATAATTTAGTGCTCTTGGTTTTGTCCCGGACAGCCTCTTCTCATCTGTACTTCTTTAAAAAAAAAAATACTAGTAGAAGGGGAAAAAGAGAGTGTATGCGTGTTTGTGCAGACAGACGATGTACTCGCATCTATAAACTCTGTGGGTGTTTGGGCCCCTTCCTTATGCATAAACCGCCCTCCCTCCTGGGGTGTCTTCTCCTTAATGACGTTCACGCTCATTTAGACGCTCGGAACCGGCTCAGCCTCTCCCGGAGCCCGCAGCCTCCACAAACATCCTGAAAAGCAACCTGAGCAGACGTCCCTCCTCGAGGCAGTTCCAGGGATTTTTCTCTCCCGGGCGGTTTAGGAGCTGGCGAGCGAGCGAGGGAGCGAGCGCTTGGGTTTTCCAGTGCCTGCTCCTCCCACCAGAGACACCCTCCCGCCGCTCCCCGCCGGGCCGCGCCGCTCACACGGCTCCGCCGCGGCGTGCGGGACGCGGGCACAGCGCGGCCGCTCCCGCTGCCGGACGAGAGCTCCCGGGGAAGGGTCCATGGGCCGGGGCCGATAGGAGCCCCCCGCCGCCTCCGCCTCGGGCCATGAGCGGGCAGCGGCGCCTCCGCGGGGGCTGAGCGGGGGCCGTGCCGTGCCGGGCCGTGCCGTGCATGCCGGCGGGGCGCGTCCCGCGGCGGGGCAGCCCCCGCCGAGCCGCGATGCCGGCGGCGGGGCGCGGGCAGCCCAGCCCCTGGCTGCTGGTGCTGGGCGCCGCCGCCCCCGCGCTCTGGCTGCGCTGCGTCCTCGCCGACTTCACGGTGGACAACGAGGTGCACTCCAGCTTCATCCACCGGCGGCTGCGCGGCCCCGAGCGCCGCGAGATGCAGCGGGAGATCCTCTCCATCCTCGGCCTGCCGCACCGCCCGCGGCCCCACCTCCACGGCAAGCACAACTCGGCCCCCATGTTCATGCTGGACCTCTACAATGCCATGTCCGTGGAGGAGGGGGCGGCGGGGGCCGCCGCCGAGGACGGCGAGGGATTCTCCTATCCCTACAAGCCCATCTTCAGCACCCAGGGGCCGCCCCTGGCCAGCCTGCAGGACAGCAACTTCCTCACCGAGGCTGACATGGTCATGAGCTTCGTCAACTTGGGTGAGTGCCGGGCTCGGCGGGGCTGGGTCCGGGGCAACCGGGCAGGGAACCGTGCCGGGGGGAGGCTGGAGCGGCGCCCTGGCCACCAGCGGGAGGACAGGGGCTGGTGGTGCAGGTGGTCGCGCTTGGGAGCTATTTCCCAGCGGGTCAGGTGGGTGGCAGCCCACCTGGGCAAAGGAAGGGCAGGTAGCGGCCCTCGAAAAAGAAGCTCCTTTGCCAGGTAGTAGTTAAATGGCACCAACGTGGAGAGGGCTCAGACTTCCCATCACAGCATTTGGACAGCCACAAGCTTTCTCCACGCTCCACCCTGCACGCCGACACACTAAGGTCTCCCTTTGATAGTTGCTGCACTTCAGAAATTGGATTTGCAGGTAGGAGTTAGACAGGACGATCGGCAAGTCTGTTCCACATCCCACACTGCCAAGGAATACACGAAACTCAGGCAGGACCACGGGTCCTGCGCGGCTCCCGGTGCCGGGCTGGCGCTCTTGCTGGACGCAGAGCCACCAGGGCTGCCCGGACGGATAGTTCCCTGCGGCATCCCAGCGCCGCGCTCCCGCGGCCGGAGGGGCTGAGCTGCTCGCACATGTTTTCCTAATGGGTTGGGAGGGATTCCACAGTAAATCCTTATTTACTCCTGCAGCTTTTCCTGTTGACCCCAGTTTATGCCGCTAACTCGCCTCTTTTCACAAGCACATGTGGATGGGTTTATGCAAACGATAGAGAGTTGGCACGCTTTGTATGCGCCTCGCTAGGCCTCTCTAATTGGATGCCACGGCCCAATCTGATTTCCATTTGCTCGCTGCAGATTGCACACCCGTGTGGACTGACTTGGCCGGATTTGAGTAAAACATTGTCAGGGTGCGCGTTCTATTTTAAATATGTAATTATAGACCTGGTTCACTCTATCCATTTTTAGACCTCATCATGTGCGGCTCTTAAACCACACACGTACAGATTGGATGTCTGCAAGTGCAAGGCAGAACCTGAATTGTATTTCCAAAACAAGATCCACTCAAACTTTGTCCCAAACAAAGGGAGACACAAAGCACAAGAAGAGCCCACCTCTGGCACATAACCTGCTAGGGATTACAGACCCGCATCTCCAATAAATCCATTAACACCTTTATGGATGTCACTGTTCTGGACACTTCCACCGTCTGGAACTTCAGAGGGAACAAAGATTAAATCACCACCTAAATCACCACCTCTCTAATCCCAGCACTTTAACCAACTTGAAAAGATCAGCAGCTGTAAAGGCTCTGTGACACACGTTAATAATTATTAGACACGGTAGCCATCCCGGCACAATTCGTGCATGATAAGGAGACACAGGACTCTGTGGGAGATCTCTAGTTTGCATGAGCTGCACCTCCTTATTAACTGCCATAAGCTTCACAGTGGGAAGCTTGGAATTACATCTGGCCCGGGGGCTGTGCTCTAAGAGAGCTGGTGCTTTCCATTTGGAATTACAGTGTTTGTCTAATCAGTGCTGGATCCTTAAGCCGATGAGCAATGATACATTTAAATCAAATATTTGAGCTGTCAAAAGTACCAATGGCAGTTAAATATTTGACTTAAGAGATAAGAGAGATCTTGCTAACACTATTCTCCGTGGTTCTTGGGTCCTACACCATGTACAGCTGAGTGCAAGGAGAGTCTTGAACAGAAGACAAAGGATGCTGAAATACCAATAGCAAAATTCACACTTCCCTTTCTTTTTCGTTAGAGAGGAGAGAACATTTATGAAACATGTAAGTACCTAATGGGAGGGAGTTTAACCCTGGGGAAGCAGCTCTGCTCCTCAGGTGTAGTTATCTACTGCATAACTTTCATCAGTGAAACTGCAGTGCTCTCGTCCCATGCTTCCAATGTAAGGAAAAGTCTCCCTGTCAGCCCAAGTCACTAATTATTTCGAATACAGAGGAGTGGAATCGATCCATAAACTGAAATAAAAGTTACATTTTGGATATGTCTGTGTCTATGTGAGAACTCTTTATGGAGCAGGTTTCACCTTTATAAGCCGTAAGAAACCGATAGTTGACATCCCGATGTGATGGGATGGGATGGCTGCAGCGGGTGTTTCATTCATTTCGACCTGCCAGGTTTTGTAGTTGGCTTAGAAACCCAAGAGTGTTCTTGATGCAAAATACTAAATGATCATTTTATTTAGGTGCTGTCAGCATGGTCAGTGAGTAGTAAGAGCATAGGCAAAATCCAGTAGTTTTAAGGACAGGTGGAATTACTACCAGCAAGGCACATTTTGGAGATTTATCTGTGCTGTTTTGTTCCCTTGTCAACAGTGCATGCCAGGACGAGTTTAAAAAGGACACAGATCTATAATAGCTTTCTTCATCTCTGTGCACACCTTTCATCCCATTATAGTCATCTCTCTTTCATCTTTATAGGACAAAGACAGGCTTGTTTATGGATGTTTTAATGAATTAGACCAGCCACTCACTCCCGTATATAGTCAAACACCACACCTGCTTTGAGACGTACAGTTTTCTGTGACATTCAGGGAAAATTAGAACAACTATTGTAGAACTGAATTTTTCTGGAGACTTTCTACAATGATCCCTTTTAAAGCAGAGCTGAATTCCTAAATGCAGACTGTAGTAAACTGTGTCCTACTTTTGTAAGAGATACTCTGTGAGCATTGCATTTCACAGGTAGGCTTTTATTACTATACTAGAGCCATCACAATGAGGAAGTGTCACAGCATAATAAAGTTTCATTTCAGAATGGAGGAAGTAAAAGTGAGTAAAGAAATAATACTTTTAAATTTCGTTCAATAAAACATGTTAATTCCAGGCTTCCAAATGCTAATCTACAAAAAGCACTTTTTTTTGCCTTATTCTTTTCTTCATTTATCCAGTTTTGCAATTTCAGAGGGAAAAATATATTAAAAAAAAAATTGCAAGATTTACTGGGATATATAGTAAAAAAGCCAAAACCAAACCCCCCACACATTGATTTCTATGGAGATACTGTGTATATTTATTCCAGAGAATTTATACTGGGTATTGGTAGGGAGGAACCAGAATACAGGTGCTCTGTTTCAGGGAGCTTTTTACTAAGCATGTAATGTTACTGTAAGATCTTGACAATTAATTAGATTTAGATTTATAACTAGTTAATTCACAGACTACATTTTGTCTTAGCTTACACCTGTGCTAAGATGAAAGGGGAATGGATTTTTATCAAGAATGAAGTTACATGTAAATGAAAAGAGAATTTAGCCGCAGTGGTCTGACTAAGTTAGTCAGTTAATTACTGGCTAATTTTGTAAAATTTATTACTATAATTTCAGTATTTGGAGTTTAATTTCTGTTCAAGTATAGTCCACAAACTGAACAATTTTAGGAACTGAAAAAACGCAAAGCATTTTTTGCACAAGTTTAATTTGAAGTTTATAAACAGCAACTAAGGAGTAAACATCCTCTCAGTGACTTAGCCCTTCTCTTCTAAAAATAATTGAGTTGTCCTTATGACGGTAATCTTGCCTTGGTAAACAGAGTTGCTTAGAATATTTTTAAAAGAGTCGGCACAAGTGATATGCAATTTGTTAATTTGTCTCGTGGTTGATTATAAAATGAACAACATTGTTTAATCCTGGCAAAAAAGAAGTGGGGGGGAAATTAGTCATTCTTGGAATGAGCACTTGAAAGTGGCTTTTGTTAATATAAATCAAGAAGCTGAAGAGCCCCCAAGTTTCCTTTTATTTCATACCATCTGGCTATCCTTTTTGTTGACAAGTGTTTGGCATAGAGAACCATCTCTTTGCCCTTTAATAACAGGCTTTAACACTGTAGGGTATTAGAAAAAGATTCTATAACAGTTAAAAAATTTCCTTCGGGGAATACTTTATAAAGTGAGCACGGGCTGCAGGCATTTGCAGCTGTAACCTGGCTTGTGTTAAAATTTGGAAGGGGCTGCCTTGCATTCCAGCTCACTACAGGCCTTCATTGGTGTACAGCCAAAGGTTAATATAGATGTCACACAGTTTTTCTTTGGAGAGCCTCAGATATAAGAGTACGCGTACAGCTGTGTTTTTAGTAACCCTTTCATAATCACTTCTTTTAAACCTCATTTTCCTGCTTATATAAATCAAAGATTTTCAAGGATATTTGACCTGGATTTGAACTTATTTGATCTTCACATATTTCCCACTTGAAACAAAGCAGATTAAAAGTTAGCCCTGGATGCCTGGTCCCGATCACATGGTTTGTCCATACATTTGGCCAAGCCCTTGGCATTTTTTTTTTCCTCCTCCACCTAACGCTGCTAGAAGCTCTCAAGCCTGAACAGGTACATCCCATAATTGTTTTGGGCAGTGTGGATATGTGCAACACTTGGTGGTAGAACATTAGCTAAGGCAGAAAGCTTGCAGCAAAGTAAAGATATGAAGGACACTGATGTGCAGCAGGTATTCTTTGAATGTACAGATGTGTTCTAGAGAGAATTTAATTAATTTTCTAGTGGCAGAGCAGAACAGAAAATATTTACCTCTGCCATGCTGGTGCACTGGTAGCAGAGAAAGAAGCAGCTGAGGACAGATGTCCTTATGCAAGGAAAAAGGACATGGAGGTTGTCCTCCCCCCCGTCACTCCCCCCACTCGCACACGGGCAATTTATCCCAGAGCGAGATCTTTCCTCCTATTCCACACAGGCTATCCTGGGGGGGTGAAGCCCCCTCTGTGAGCTGTAGTTTAAAAGCCAAAACACAACGGCTTATAAAGTGCTTTTGAAGGAGACAAGCCTGGATGGCCACCAGTGGAACGTGCGGGACCTGCTCCCACCCGCATGCTCATGCCCCAAGTTGTGCTGTGTGTGTGTGTTGTGTGTGTGTTGTATGTGTGTTGTGTGTGTCCCTGAAAAGAAGATTTAACTGCCTCTGGGCAGGCAGCACAAACCCAGGCACTAGTTCTGCTCTGGAAATAAGCCCAAAACACATTTTCGGGTCGTGGGGGGAGAGATGTGTGAGAGAAGGTTACACA